CTTCTTGAAAGAAAGACCAACAGGAAAAATACAAAACAATAATGGCAGTCCAACTGATTACTACAAGAACAAGCAAGTTTCTCGCCCAGGAGACATCAAGGGCAAGTGGTCAGGTCCTCTCAGGGCAAACGCCCTTTCAAGACTAAGACTCAGTGGGAATACACAAGCAGATATGCATTCTGATTTGTGATCAAGTTTGTCATCGATAAGGGGAAGTGAGGGAAAAACAGCAATGAAACTGCGAGTTAAGCCCTACAACGTTCAGTAGATTTCTGTGTATCCGAGTGGAGACCTGGGTGGCCAGCAGTGTGGCAAGACCTGGGGACTCTTGGGCTCAGAGACAGTGACATAGCCACAGAGTACTAGATTGGAGAGTGAAGCGTCCAGCTGATGAGAAGAGATGGAATATGCATAAGAACACCACACTTAAAAATAATACCCACTTGACCTGGCTTTAATGACTGTTTGATCAGAGCTAAACTAGAAGAAGAGAGGGGAAAGAAACATAATAATCCGATTCAGTTTGATGAACTTGACCTACACATATGAATGCAGTAGCTCAAAACAGGATACAAATCTTTACATGGAGGATCATTCCCATCTCCTCCATACACAGAGTAGATAGGCATGGGCAACTTGGACATTGACTACCCAAAATGGGGAGGCTACAAAGGCAAGAAGTGACTGGCTTGCAAGCTTTCAAGAGGGAGCCTGGATCCAGAGGGTGTGAAGGAACATAGAATCTCCACTGAGTTATATCCAATCTGTCTGGGCGGGGCTAATGAAAGGAGATGGGGATAGGTCCCTTGTGGTACAATGGTGAATAATTGTTATCAGGACTGACTGTGAGGGTTGGAAATGTAAAGGTAGACGTTTTGTAGCAACAGGAGGGGAGTGATTGACTCTGTAGTCCAGGAGCAGTGGTCCCTGGGACCATCAAGGGAGAAGAGCTGAGTGTGAGACCCTACCCAGAGAATCAGTGACCCCAGAGATGGAGGCAGAGAAGATGATGTGGAGATATGGAACGGCTGGGGACTCTAGACCTAGAGAGGGAAGGGACTGTGTGCTGATGACCGGGGGCAGTCTTTGGTTGGTTGATGATGCATAGAGGAGATTGTACCCATGGCAACGAAATGATATATGATAGGATGAATGTAAAGCTAATGTTCTCCCATGTAAACTATGACATAATTCCCAATAAAGCATTAAAAAAAAAAAAAAAAAAAAAAAAAGACTATAGGCCAACAGGGCAGAATCAATAGTGCCTTTTGATCCTTTAATTTAAAAAGTGAATTTAAGGACTGCATGAAAGTGATATGTGATTATAACTAAAGTATAATTTCTAGTAATATATAAATGTTTGTTGTTGTTTTTAAAGTGCTATTGAGTCTATTCTGACCCATAGCAACTTGTTTCTGAGGATCGGCTGGTGAGATTGAACTTCCAACCTTGTGTTGCAAACTGACTTTGCAGTCTAGCTTATTAACCCACAGAACCACACCAGGGCACTCTGTCATATACACACACACACACACACACACACACACACACATATATATATATATTAAGGAAATGATTCAAAGTTGTAGAGGTGGGGAAGTTCCAAGTCCGTTGGTCAGATGTGAGTCGGGAAGGTACTGACTCACGTAGCAGCAGGTCTGATAAACTAAGAACAACTGGTCAGAAGGCAGGCAGGCAGGTTGGGTAGGTAGGATGGGTGACTGCTGAAGACTTCCAGGATTGGCAGGCAATAGAGTAGGCCACTAACGCAAGTCTAAAGTGAGGTGTGATGAAGCAGTGTACAGATCTAGCAGTAAGAAAGTAAGATTTTCCTGAGTGATGCTTTCTTTGAAGCATGCCATACCCCTGAGGAAGTGTCTGTTAATTGATTGACTACTCTTAGCAGATCTCATCATGGGAGAGTACTAAGTTTTACAGAATTACTTCGTTTTAACTGCCAAACCAGTGATAATCTTAGCCCAATCAACTTGACACAAAACTATGACTATCATTCTGGATTGGATTCCTCTCAGTGGCATTAAATGAGTTAGCAGACAGATGCATTTAATATCTTTTAATGATTAATATGGCAGAAAGTAATACAGATAGGAAGGGATAGTTGGGAATGATGAGTACTTCAGACAAATTTGTTTAACTGACATGCTAATTAGAGATATGTTTTGTAGTTTAATAGACCTTCTTACTTCTTTTTCTGAGATAGGCTGAAACTGATTTTAATATATATTTCTATATTAAAATAGATATAGGTTATAGTTGTTATATTTTCATTTTCTTTAAAGTTTTTGGTTCTCTTTTCTGACTTTTGTAGTGTATATATATCTTAACATGGAAAACTAATAGGATGATTCTTAATTGTTCGTCCTCTGGGTTAATAGAGCCTGTTAATGTTAGTCCTGGTGCCCGGAATATTAATTTAAGTACCCCTGTCAATGACAATTGATACAATTCAAGTCCATCTTCTATGAGTCTGAGGCCAAAAGCTACAGCAGTGTACTTTTCTTTGAAATGAGGGTGAATGAAGTGTTACAGTATACATAGTTTAACATAGTTAATTCTCTTATCAAGATCTTTAAGCGCCTTAGTACTTTGTATGCTTTCTCATGTAGTAAATATATATTTGATGCATCTTATTTTTAAAGCTTCTGAAAAAAAAGCCTGTTGGCTTTAATGGTATTATTTATTTTTGTATTTTGTAGGGAGGACTGAAAAACAGCAAACATGAATGTACCCTGTCTTCACAAGAATATGTCCATGAATTACGATCCGGTATTTCAGATGAGAAGCTTCTCAACTGCCTAGAATCCTTGAGGGTATCTTTAACCAGCAATCCTGTCAGGTAGGTAGTTCTTATCATTTTGTTACGATTAATACAATTTGTACTGGATGTAGGTATTTGGAAATATTATCAGTTTTATTATTTTAACCTCAAAATTTGAGACTAGAAGTCTGATGTTATCTAACAACATATGTAAGTCTTATTTTATCGAATCTTAGCAATGTCTGGCATATGAAGACTGTAAATAATACAAAATATTTATTGAGTTAATATGATCTCTAATGTGTGCAACTCTAAAAATATAAATATGACTTGGATAGTTAATTACTTCCCTGTTATATAAAGTCAGAAATATTTGTGCATTTATAAAGAAAACTATTTTTCTACTCAGATTACAATTGTTATATGTTTGTAAAACAAGTCAAGTGTATTGGCTTTATTATTTCATTCCTTTTTCACCAGAGAAATTCTATATTTTTCTCTTGTACTGTTGTGTTTATGAATTGGGCTGGTAACCTCAAGGTCAACAGTTCAAAAATTTTCAAAAGCTGTTCCTCGGAGAAAGATGAGGTTTTCTGCTCCCGTAAAGATTTACAGCTTCGGAAGCCTTATGTAGAGTTGGAACTGACTCCATGGCAAATAACCAACCATTAAATATATACTCTTCACACATTTCCATAGTTTTCAGATATCAAAAATTAAATATTTTAATCACTAAAAATAATGAGAATATAAACTATAATCTCTAAAGATGCACAATGTTAACTAAATGTGAAGGATCGTTAAGGAAGAGGTGATTTGCCAATGTTGCATTCCAATAATCATTGTTCCTTTATTAAGTATTTTAAAAATTCCATTAATAACACAAATAAAATAAAACTTTTATAACTAAAAAGATTTTAAATGTTATATCAAAATATTTTGGGATCTAGTTATAAAATTGTTAGAATCATAAATTTTGAAATTAGTATAAGAGGTGTATATAGTGACCTTATTCTAATTGTATTAATGGTTTCCTTAATATATAGTTATAGGGCTATGGCTTATACTTGTCTGAATTGTCTAGAGTGCACTAAAATGAAATTTATTTTAGCTGTTCTATTTATATCTATATATAAATTGAAGTATCTAATATTACATTAAAACCTGGGAAAGCAGGAACATGTGTAAGGTAGAAATCTGTCAGAGAAGCAAAACATAAATATTTTCCACTCATAAAGAGAGATGGTGTTAAGTGCCATTGGACTGATTGTGACCCTGTTTAGAGTTTCTGAGGAAAGGCTGGTGGTAGAACTGGTGACCATATGGGTAGCAGATCAGTGCTTATCCTAGAATACCACAAAGTAAAGCTGTATCCAATCAAAGATGGAAAACTTTCAGGACCCAGAAAAACAAGGCATCCAGTGAAGTTCCAGCTTTCACAGGTTTACCGTATTTCATTTATTTATATTGACTGTACATTTGGAAAATATCGGGACGATTATAATTCCACAATAACAATTTTTAAAATGCAGTGATGCGTCATGGATAGAACCTTTAAGAACAGTAACTGTGGTGGGTGGGTTCTTTTTGTTTTGGTTTTTTTTTCTCCTATTCTTCTCGCATGTATCCCATACAACCTTACCTGTTGTTAACTTCTGTCAAGTCTGTCTCATAGTCTCTTCCGGCTCATAATGATCCTGTATGGTGTTTTCAAGGAGCTGCTGGTGGGTTTGAACTGCCCACTTCGTGGGTAGCATTCTAGTGTTTTTCCTACAACAGGATTCTACTCTGCTTAGTGCCTATCATTTGTGTGCTCCAAAAATTTCGGTTGTATGATTAAATGAGTGAATAAGTAAATAATTTTAAGGTGACTATAGAAAAAGTTTAGGCGTTTAAGGATAAGAAGGGAAAAAATAGTAAAAATGTACTTTTATAAAGATGGCGGGTAAGTAGCGGAAAAGGGTTGAAGTCACAGATTCGACTTTTCAAATTTAGCACAGCCACTGCACAGTCCACTGAGTTGTGGGCACGAGCAAGAACCTAGCAAGTCCTGATTGGTTGAAGGCAACTGCGTTCTGGAAGCTCATTGGTTCCAGGGAGAGTGTAAAGCAATTGTGTAGTAAAGATCCCGGCAATCTGCTGTAGAGTTTAGAACTGCTTTGATGAACTCACTGTGGCGATCAAAACCGAATTTCCTCACTTACCAGAGCTGTGATTGACGATGAGTAAGAGTGGTGGGAGTTAGAGCAGCACCTCTGTTGCTGGTGAAGCCTGTGGAGGCAATGGTCAACCCTTTGGGGGAGACACAACTCTTGCTAAGCTCCGAAGACCCAAGGCTCTAATCAAGGAATTTATGCCCTGTTCTATAAACCAGCTGCTCACTTCTACTCTGGTTGACAATGTCTTTAAGATCAGGGGAATTGAGATTTCCCAAATCTCTACTGTAGGGATAATTAATACAGGTAGAGAGAGCTCCATACTATAGTCTGTACAAAATTGATGATACGACTTAAAAGGCTATTGCGTGTGGTGCAGTGGCTTGGTAGAGATAAAGCAAAGCAGCCAACGACCTCGCTTCCTGTTGGGGTATATGTCAAATTGTTTGGTATCCTCAAATGTGCTGCTGAGAGCAAAGAGCCTTGAGGTATTGAAAATCCGAGTCCTGGAAGATATGAACAAGTTAACTGTACATATTTTAGAGACAGTCAGTGCACACATGATGCTTGATAAAGCCCGCTGAGCAACCACTTGGAAAAATGTGCCTGCTACCCTACCCCATCAAGAATGGTTAACATGTCGACACGGTTGATGAAGGCGAGCATCATCTTAAATTTATTTGGAAGGAGGTGCTACGGTTGATTCACAAGTGTCCTCGACTTGAAGGAAAGAACATTCAGGAGCTCCAGACAGAGCTTCCCAGCATGAGCATAGGAGCCATCAAGGAAGTGATTTGAGTATTTGACCATAGAGGGCCATGTCTATTCCACTGTGGATAAGGAACACTTTAAATCTGCTGATTGAGGCAGTGAAATCACTTTTCATTTTCAGAAGACCCTTGCCTCCAGCCGTGAGTAATTTTGACCTGTTGACTTTTAGGAAGTAGGATTTTACAACAAAAGCTCTCAACTGGCACACTTTTGAAACTCTCTGCTTTTCCATCTGATTAGAACTCTTCTGTTCTAACTGTATTTGAAGCTCAGAAGGAGATGGAGATGGATGAATTTACTGAACTTTTTGAGGAATTACCAGTAAGCTAGTTGAAAAATGTTTAAGAATGGATGAATTTGATAGACAAAAGGTACAGAAAGAGTTGAAAATTATCATTTGTTGGAGCTTCTTTTTCTGTAATACTTACCTGTTAGAAGAAAATAGATGCAGTCAGAGAGCCAGCAAAGAGACCAAAAAAAAAAAAAAAAAGTTTTTATTGTTTCTACGTTAGACTTATTTTACACTTGTTTGGATTTAGCCTATTAAACCATTACTATCATTTGCTAATTTAATAATTAGCAAACAATATTCTAAAAATTGTAATTTCTTAATTCAAATTGCTAAATATGGCAATTGATTAAATAGTCAAGTGTTTATAGAGTATTCTAATGGGTTTTTATTTTTAAAATATAAGGTTATTTTTATGCTTAAATAACTATTTTTATAGAGTCTTTTAATATTTTCCCCCTAAGATGTGACTTTATCCCCTGATTATTTCAAATACTATGAGATTTGAATAAATTACTATTGTACTTGCATGGTATATGGATGTCAGGCTGTTGGGAAGTTTGATATTTTTGTGTATTATCCGTAGTGCTAAATCCTCTCTTTTATGTACCACAGTGAACTGTTTTATAGTTAGACAAATAAGTACACACAGTCACTTTAGGAATGTTAAGCTTACTATGTTTATCAGAAATTTGTTTATGTTGTATTTAAATACATTTGTGAAATCTTAACTTCCTTGTGTGATATTTGAAAATGCTTTTTTGTTAGCTTCTTGAGAATTAATAGTCTTTACTTGTCCAGAAGAAAACATTTTCTGTCTATGGTTGTGAGTTAGGCTGCTAACCTCAATGTCAGCAGTTTGAAAATTACCAGTCGTTCTGTGGGAGAAAGATGAGGCTTTCTGCTCTTGTACAGATTTACAGCCTTGGACACACTATACAGGGTTGCTATGAGTCAGACCAAATCCACAGCACATAACCACAACCGCCAGCATATTGTGATGATGTATTTTAATATGGATTATATTAACTATGTGAGATTTTAAAATAATTATCTTTTAAAGTTGTATTTTCACTAAAGTTTGGTATATTTTGAAGTACTAGATTTCTTATATTTGTTGTTGGTGTTAAGTGCCTGCGAGTCGATTCTGACCTTTAGAGACCCTATACGGGTTTCCAAGGAGCAGCTCGTGAGCTTGAACTGCTGACTTTGCAGTTCAATTGATTTTGCAGTCCGGCACTTTAACCCACAGCGGCACACAAAGACTCCAATATTGATATATAGATGATATATTTGTCTCAGATACATAAAAGAGTAAAACCTCACTACTCTTAATTGGATCATCAAGAGAGGGATGCAAAAACAGAAAACCATTAAAATGCAACATTGCCTCTATTGTCTGTTAGCCCTTGAAAAACCTATCAGCAAATCTTGTTTAAGCCCTGTGAGGTATACACTTTGACAAAATACAAATTAATACTTTATTAAAAAGCCTGTTGTTTTCTGTTATCAAGCATCTTTGAAAATTCTAATTTTAAAAATTTGGAACCACCCTTGAAAAAGACTGTTTGGGAAGAAAGTGGTGGAGGGGCTACTCTCTTCCACAGAATTGAGGTGTGGAAAGCCATAATCCAGGATACTTAATATGGTAGTTCTTTTTTAACATCACTTGTTTAAAAAGCAGGAACTCTTAAAATTAAAATCAGATATTTCAGACATTCATTGCTGACTATTCTTATAAATTGCCTGAGTTAATTCAGGTGACCAGTTTGATGAAGAGTCCCTGTCCCCACCTCACTTTAAGCTCTATATGAGTGTTCGGTCAGAACTTGCAGGGTAAGGGAGGAGTGACTTTTCATTTGGGAGACAAAATTGTGTGTGTACCAGATTACGGATACATTGCCATCTGTATATTCCAATTTAAGAAGCCCAATCCCAGATCCTATCCTAAGGGGAAATAGAATCCTGTGCTTTTGTGAGATTCTGCTTCTAATTAGGGGCTGCTATGCTGGTAGCGTAGTAACGAATCGGGCTGCAAACCTCAGGGACAGCAGGTCGAAACTACCAGCTGTTTCATGGAAGAAAGATGAGGCTTTCTGCTCCTGTAAAGATTTACTGTACAGAGTCGCTATGAGTCGGAACCAACTCCACCACACATAACAATAGCAACAACAACATAGTAGAATAGTAAGTTGTTAAGTGCCATGGTGTTTCTGAGTCAGTTTTATAAAATAGGAACTATTATTCGTATTTTATAGAAGCGGAACCTGAGGCTAAGGGAGAATAGAAGTAATTTGTTCAAATAAAGGTTACACACAGAAAATCCTGAGTCTGTACAGGATTTTAAACGGGAGTGGCTGGTAGGTTTGAATTGCTTACCTCACAGCTACCAATTTTTATTTGTAACACTTGTTATAAGGTGATTGAAAGTCAACAAATTTTTTAGATAAGCAATTGCTGAATAGTCATATTTGTTGTATATGTATATTTGGTGCATGTTAGGAGTAGAAAAAAATTTTAATTCATGGTGTAGTGGTTTGTGCACTGAAACTGCAAACCAGTAGAACAGCAGTTTGCTTCACAGGAGAAAAATGAGACTTTCTGCTCTCTTAAAGATTTACAGCCTCTGAAACCCTATCCACATATGCACTATTATTCAGAAAGCACTCAGTGGCACACAGCCGCCACCAACACTACCACCTCCACAATCTGACATTTACTTAAAGTGTAGTTTCAATTTGTTTTTTTACTGGGAATGACTTTGCCAGTGTTCCCCTTTCTTCTCAGTCCTGCTGGGTATTTGACCCAAATCTCCAAGGATAAATTGTAAAGCCTGGTGATATACTATCCACTGTCTGGGGGAAGTACACTAAGGGCTGAAGCACTTAAAAGCCATAATTGAGAGTTATAATCCTCTTAGAGTTGTTTTCTTATGGCTCAGGAATAAAAAAAGATATGTATTTATATTGAAATTGAGTCTAAATAAAAATTGAAAATGTTTTCAAGTCAATGCTGATTATCATTACTGTTGTAATGTTGCTGTTGTTAAGTGTGGAAGACTCAGTTCTGATTCATAGTGACCCTCTATATGGTTTTCAAGGTAGCATAGTGGTTACGAATCGGGCTGCGAACCACAAGGTCAGCAGTTCAAAACTACCAGCGGTTCCGCGGGGGAGAAAGATGAGGCTTTCTGCTCCCGTAAAGATATACGGCCTCGGAAACCCTGTGCAGGGTCGTTATGCGTCAGAACCGACTCCACGGCACTCAGCAACAACAACAACATGGTTTCCAAGAGCAGCTGGTGGGTTTGAATTCCTGTCTTGCAGTTCAAATCAACCTTGCCCTCTAGTGGTTATCCTACAGTGCCACACCCAGATTGTCATAATTATTTGTAATCATTTTAACACTATTTTTCTAATAAATGTAGGTTTTATATTCAAATTAGGTTTTATATGAATTTAAATTCTATTGAATTCTCAGATGCATATTAAAATGATAGATAATATTTACATGGGAGCATGGTGGCTCTATTCGGTAAACATTGGACTGTGAACCGTAAAGTCTGTGGTTCAAGCCTGCGAACTGCTCTGCAAGAGACAGATGAGGCTTTCTGCTCCTGCAAAGATTTAAAGCCTTAGAAACCCTAATTGGGGTCACTATGAGTTAGAACCAATTCAACATCAGTTTACAAAAACAACAATATTTATATAGTACTTTTTATCTGCCAGGAACACTTATAAATACGGTTGTTGTTTTTATTTGTTGTTGCTTTCCTGTGATTCCTAGCCTTTATCTTTAGCTCAAATCTTTATTTTTAAATTTAGACTAGTTCCAAATATTTCTCTATCCTAAATGGTAGCATCAATGGGGTGAAGCGTGACAACAATTGTGAGGTTGGCCCAGGAACGGGCAGTGTTTCGTTCTGTTGTACACAGGGTCACTATGAGTCGGTACAGATTCAATGGCACCTAACAAGAACAGCAACAACCATGTATAAAAAACATACAATAAAAACAAGAAGAAAGAGTTACAAACTGTTTAGTGTCCCACAGGTAATATTCTAAGAACTTTCCATGTAATTCTGCTAAGAATCATTCTTATTGTTATTACTATTGTTCCTATTTTATAGGAGCAGAACCTGAGGCTAAGGGAGAATATAAGTAATTTATTCAAATAAAGGTTACACACAAATAGTAGATAATTTATATAGTTCATCTTTGCCAGATGGAGCAGCTGTGTGTTTTAAGAGCTGGGTCCTTAACCTTTACCTGTTGTTGTTGTTGTTGTTATGTGCTGTCGAGTCGGTTCCGACCCTGTACAGGGTCGCTATGGGTCGGAACCTTTACCTGTTACTGCCTCACAATCAGAAAAAGGTTTTCTTTGTTGTTGTTAATATTTCCTTTTCACTCTTGTCATAAACTAAGTATTATGCTTTATTTGTTTTATTAAAATGTGGTTTAGTTGAATTAGAAAAAGAAAAACAAACAAACTAAAATCAAACTACTGGAATGTTTCATCAAAAATCAATAAATACCTATCAGTTTATGAAGGAATATTTTGTTAAACTTGTAAGCAGCTTAGCTATATACATTTTTGGGGACATTATAACATTTTTGGTGTCCTGTATTTTAGTTGATTAAAAATTCATCTGAAATTACTCATGACTTTATAAAGGTATGTATTTATTTAAATATGGTAAGACCTCAAGGTCTGTTTGAACCACAAAGTTGATGGTTCAAACACAGCAGCCGCTCCTTGGAAACACTATACAAGGTCGCTGGAGTCAGAACCAATTCGACTCACTT